CCAAATATTAAGGCTAAGGTCTTGAAATAAGTTGCAGTTTCACATGCAACAAATATTAAAGCTATAAAAAACTTTCCTTAGCTCCCCCTACGAAGATGCTTGCCGAATAAAATTAAATCTATCTTTACTTAAAGGCTAGAAACAAGAAAACCTTGACTTTGACCAGATCATTGCTAAGATATATGTGAATATATTTTGTTATTGTATTTTATTGAAGCATATATATAGATTGATATGCATATAATCGATTACCTAAATTTATGCCTAAAATTGCTTACACATTATATAGGAACATATAATTTAGATTCAAAGAACATATTAATCACATTTTATTGTCTAAAATTGCTTACGTATTAACCACATAGTTTTTGTTGTATTCTATGCAAGGAAAAATGAAATAATTGGCGGCAGGGGCAGTTATGACGGATGAAAATTGTGGCTTTTCAAAATTGTGCCTTTTCATTTCTCTTTCTGACATTGCTTCATTTAATGTGTTTTACAGACCTTTCAATTCTCTTCAAAGTTTTCTGTTTATACCCTTTTAGCTTTCTTTTCAATTCTCCATTTTCTTTGAAATTTCTGTGTAAGCAGCTTTTGGTTTCCCCAATTTCTTTGAATATTTTCCTCTTCTTCCTTTTATAAGAAAAATTATGGCTAACAATAGGGAAGTGAGTGAGTTCAAAGTGCAACTTGAAGTGTTGTACGCTGAATTGGCTGAAATAAGTGCGTAGGAGAAGGTTAAGGGAGAAGAATTGGCTGAAATTAGAGCGCAACGGAAGGTTAACAAAGATGAATTAGCTAAAATTAGAGCGGCACATATGGAAAAGCTACAAGAAGCGAGGGTTTTGTCGGCCGAGTTGCAGCGGCTTCGGGAAGCGCGCATTGCAGAGCTTTATGGGTAAGTAGATGAAGTCCGTAGAAGGGCTTTGGCAGGTTATGGCGGAGATGGGCCGGCTGTTGAAAAAGTGGAACCTGTTGAGAGGATTATTGAATAGGACAGGGGTGAAAATGTAGAAATGTTGGTGTTCGAGGAGGTCATGTAGAATATAGGGATGATGGTGGTGTTGAAAGAGGTCCTGTAGAACACAATGAGGTTTGCGGTGTTGATGATGAGATGGAATGCATAATTCAGTATAAGAATCACCACAGATCTGCTCTGGTATTGTTTTTAACTTGCGTATTCGTGTATGTTTGTTTGTCTTTGTATTTGTGTATTAATATGTGTGTAGGAGAGACTAATTTTGATCTTGTGTTGTTTTCCTTGTGCGTAGCCGCTTCCTAATCATTCGAAGTCTTTTGCTTTTTCTTTTACGGCTCATGTTCGAGTTTAACGTGGTCTTGGAGGGCCAGCGTGGATGTGGAATTGCTCGGTGCTAATATTTGTGAGACTCATGGTCTATTCATGTATTCTGGTTGGGAGAACTTTGTGGCTGACAATAATGTTGAGCATGGTGATATTCTGAGTGTGCGTTATGTTGGTCATGGAGTTTTCCATATTAATGTGTTAATTGTTGTTGTTGATGATGATGATGATGCTGATGATAACTAAGAAATTAATTGTTTCACATATGATGTGGTTGAAGTCAAGGTTTCTTGTGTCTAGACATTATCAGAATCATTGTAATAAAACATAAGTCAAGGTTTCTTAGTTGATTCTTTCTCTTTATTTACTGCCTAACTGCTGCAATAGAATTGATGAAATATTTTTCTCAAGGGATTACATTCACTGACTTCCCAATATATACAAAGTACAAGGCATAATACAAGGCATATATTTAGGTAATCGATTATATGCATATCAATCTAAATATATGCTTAACTAAAATACAATAAAAAAATATATTCAACAAAATATATTCACATATATCTTAACAATGATCTGGTTAAATTCAAAGTTTTCTAGGTTAAGGTCACTTTGAAAAGAGGGTAAGTTCATAAGGGCCAAACAAACGAGTAATTCGGGGATAAGCTTTATTGATATAAAACAAACGAGTAATACGAGGATAAGCTATATTCGAAAGAGATGACATTTTAAACATGGAAGATTGACGAAAAAGCTTAAAGTAGTTTAGGGAAGCAGAATTGATCAAATCAATATCCATTTTCCATGAGTTTGATTATTTCTAAACCAAGGGAATAGATGAATGTACCCCGACTTCAGGATTACGACCATTCCAAATTATCACATGTTGACCATTAGCAAATTTTAGGCCATTAGTAAACCGGTTAAAAGTTTCAGACCTAACGGCAACGTTGAAGTTTCTGGTTCAACATAAACGAGTCACATCCGAGTTAACTGTGAACCAAATGGAAGACAATGGAGTATTAATTTGCACGACGTGGAGACCACCCTTGGTTGCATCAAAAACGACCTCTCGAGATGGAATTGGGAGTGAGAAAGTCGGTGTATTAGCCAAATCAAGCACAATCTTCATATCAAATATAGGAACAAGTTCGGTAGGAATATAGTAAGGAGATAAAGGGCATTCCCAAATGCAAAACCATTTCATGAAATGGCGACCCCTTTGGGCAGGTAAGCGGCCACGTCATCAATTAAAGGCATGTACGCCGGTCGGAGTGGGTAAAGTTGGGAAAAACATTGCATCATCCTAAACGGGGTGCCGTAAGGGCTACTGTACATCGGGTAGGAGAACAACTCGGTATGCAACTGACGCAAGCTCACCTGATTGAACTCGGATAGATCTTGGTCATTGTAAAAGTAATGGGTGTCGTTGAAGTCCATTTTCGGGACGTTTTCAAAAGGAACCCTATTAAAGTACATTATCGGGCCATATTTTGAGAAGACACAGTAATTTGCATCTTCCCAAGCTACTTCGTGATGGACAATGGCACTTGAGTTCTTGAATTCATGGCGAATTTGTTGTTTGAGGTTTGTTGGTCGAAAATAATGGATGTAAAAAGCCTAGAATTCATGGAAGAGAACGGAGGGAACAGTACGGTATGAGTCGTATATATTTATTTAAGTAGAGTAATATGAGGATAATATCAAACATAGGGAATCGTGGCAAACAATGTAGTGCAAGGAAGAAAGTGAGTTAATCAAATTATAAACATTGCCACCAAATGATTATATTAACAAATGTCACTGAATCAAATGATTAATAATGTCAGTAAATCAAAAAATTAATAATAATAATACTATAAATCACCTAAAATTCGCTACACATTATCTTTAATTGAATAATTAATGTACAACCATTACAAAAATTGTGCAAGTGCAACCATTACAAAAATTTTTTAAAAAAGGGTAAAGCAGCCACAACATATTCAATCCCATTGAATTGAATATTGTGTCTTAGTAAAAGATAAATCGAAGATCAAACCCTCCAAACCCTTCACACCATAAACCCTTCAAACCCTAAACCCTTTTTCAACTCTAATAATGTAACAATTTTTGGTAATTATAATGCGCATTATTTTCTAAATTTTACATTTAATAATTGACATTATTTCGTAAAAATCATAGTTTGGTAGTTGATCAAATTCGTCTATGTAGTTGATCGAAGTAACGATGTTCATGTATTGTTCCATTATCTAGTTGATCATCGAAGTTCAATTGTTGTTCCATCTACTGTTCCTCCCTAGTTGATCATATTCTTCGTCTCCATTGAAGCACTACGTTCCTTTTGTTAGATTTATTAAGTGATCAAGTAAACGTTGTTGCATTTACTGTTCTTCTACCGAAGTAACGTTGTTCCATTTCGTTTTTCATAGTGGGTCATGTTGTTCCTCCTACTTGATCGAACTTACATTCTGATATTTATTGTTCGTCTATATGTCTCTTTGATCAAAGTAACCTCAAACCATATATCATTCTTATAGTTGATCAAAGTAACGATGTTCCATTTATTGCTCCCTTACTTGATTCTATTGTGCAAGTTGATCGAAGTATCGATGTTCTATTCATTGCTCTTCTAGTTGATTCTATTGTCCAAGTTGATCGACGTAACGGTATTAGAAAATTGTTGATTTGCTCCGAGTTGAACGAAGCAACGTTGTTAGTTACTGTCCCTCGTCATCCATGTAACGATACTTATGATATTAGTAAATCATACTTTTAGGTGAAAAGATTACACAATAATTTATTAATTGTTTTTTAATAAATATTTGTTAGATAAAATATTTTTTATAAAAATAATATTAAAAAACATTTCTTAATTAAAATGGGTTTACTTACGACACCCCTTGGTTGATGATGAAATGGTTTTGCAGACGTGCTTGCCCTTCAACACATCGCTACATTCCCAAGGAATTGATTCCTATATTTGATCTGATAGCATTCGTCGAGCTAGACCAAACGCTGACTTTCAAATTTACAAGGTTATCTTTGCCATTGTTATGGACAAAGCAAGTACATCCAAAAGGCTTTAAATAGGAAACATTTGGCTTTTTCTTCAAAATTGAGTGAATTAAGCAACAGTTTGAAACATAGTTAGCTGTATGCACAACTTTTGCCCAAAAATATTTTGGTAAACTGTGTTCTAAAAGCATTGTCTTAGACATGTCCAAAAGAGTGTGGTTCTTACGTTCCACAACTCCATTTTGTTGAGGTGCTAAGAAATTGTGGGAAATGCCATATTTTGCATAAAAGTTTTCAAAATTCAATTGATCAAATTCTCTACCATGATCACTTCTTACAGCGACTATAGGTAGGTGTCTTTGAAAATTCTGCCAAAGACTTGGGTCATCAGTCAAGGAATTCCATACGGGTGCTTTCATTTAACAAATATAAACATAGTCTGTAAACTTAAACTTAAACTTAAACATATTGTTTAGGTTACAAAACTAAATATAAATAAACCAACCTAAATCCCAATATAAACAAGGGCAAATTATAAACAAACTAACCTAGATAACAAATTCATTTAACAAATGCGGTCATAGTTGCTAGGAGTGCGCCGGTAAGCATCTGAATTGTCTGACCCGCTGTTGTCAGCATTACCGGTAAACTCATCTCCACCATCATCAGAGACAGAAGACTAGTGCCCTCCATGATCAGTTTCAGAATCATCATCTTCATCAGCTTCACCCCCGTCCTCATCCCTATTTTCATCATCTTCATCTTCTGCATCTTCATCATCCTCATCATCAGCAGTCCCCTCTTCTGCGTCATCAACATTCCCCTCTTCTGCATCATCACCGTCACCCCCCTATTGATTGTATTCCTCCATCTAATCATCACCATGACCACCATCATCAACACCAACATTCTTAGCCACAGCACCACCCCTGTCCTCTTCAATAATCCTCTCAACAGGTTGCACATTTCCAACAGCCGTGTCATTTCCGGCATAACCTGCCATAGCCGTTGAACGGATTTCATAAACTTGATTGTGAAGGTGTGCAATTCGTTGTTCTTGGAGCCGCTGCAACCAGGCCGACATGTGATGCTCTAATCTTAGCCAATTCTTCTATCTTACCCTTCTTTTGTGCATTGATTTCGGCCAACTCTGCGTACAACACTTCAAGTTGCGCTTTTACCTCACTCATGTCCCTATTGTTGTTAGCCATGGTTTCGCCTATAGGAAGAGGAAAAATTTTAGAATGTAGAAAAATCCCCCACATTAATTTCTAAAGTCATGATTTCCCACCTCAAGAACAAAAACCGAAAAAATATTATTTTAAAATTGGGAAAAAAAAACCCTATAATTCTTTGCCTTCAACCCATTGCTGGCGAAATGAGGAAAAGAACAAGGAAAAAAATAGACACCCCATTAATGGCGACATGAGGAACAACAAGACAGAAACAGGAAAATACCAGACACAATATAGCAAATGCAGAAAAATAAGCATGATCACCACAAGAAAAAGAAACCATTAATAATAAATACTTTGTAAAATGGCAAAAATAAAAAGCCCCATAATTCAGTATCTTTAAACCCCCCATTAAGGCAAAAACATAGGAATACACCACATGCCGGAAAACCAATAAAAAAACGGAAAAAATAACTAAAACATCATAATTCAGTACATCAAAACAATTAACAAGACAAAACATAGGAATACACCACATGCAGAAAGATAAGCAAAACCAAACTATCAAATAAACCAAGAAAAAGAAAACTACCCCTAAAACCAAGAAAAAAAAACAAAGGAAACATAATTATAGTGCGGTGATCTAAACTAAAAAAAGGAAACATAATTATAGAGTCCCAAACCAATAAATGGCGAATTGAGGAGGAGAAAGGCAAAAAAATTGGAATATACCTTGGAGCAGAATTCGTGTTGAAGAGGTTTTTTTGAATGTTTTAAAGAGGAAGGAAGAGGTTTGTTTCTCTTTCAAAGAAGTCTGGTTTTTTCTGAAAAGTGAAATGAGGAGGTAAAATGAAAAAGGGAATGAAATATGGAAAGGCATTAACCATTCCAATTCTCGCGCCAATCTGCTAAAGGTAATGATGGCGTTTCGTTAGCCGGCTTTTTTAATTTTTAATAAGAATTTAAATAAAAATATTCCTGTGGTTTTCTTTTTTTTTTTAAAAAAAAAAAAAACCTTTCCATTTTCTAATTCTATCCACTACAACTATCCAAATTTTCTTGCCCCCAATTGTAAGATAGTTTCTGGTAGTTATGTGTAACCCAGAAGTGCTTTAACTTTCACATATTGATGTTTGCAAATCATACAGCTGCAAGGATTGTTACTAATGGAGAGCTCTCTCCCAGTTGTGGTACCTGTGAATACTTTACTACTTATAAAAGTCGTATTTAAACATTTATTGTTCTAATTCATATATTTAATTCATACATCAAGGATCATAATGAAAATCATAATTAAACATTCATTGTTCTGTTAAGCATCGTGAATCATTAAATACATCAAGTTCAAAAGTCAAATACATCAAGTTCAAAAGTCAAATACATCAAGCTTCAATTTTAAGTTTAAAGTCTCTAATCAACATGAAATGCAAAGGTGAAATCATTAGGCTTCCTACAAAAGGGGATTCAGTTGATTTTGTTCACACACACATAAGCATTAGGCTTCCTCATGCCCTATTTGTCTATGAAGCAAAATATTTCATCGCCATTCCTCATGGCCACACCCCGAACATCGTGAACTGGAGTGAACTACAATATAGCAATTTTAACAACTTAATTTTAAAGGATTACGAAATGAAGAACTAAAATGTAACGAAATTAAAATTTAACAAAATCCCCAATAAAAAATTTACAACATTAACAACCTACTTTAACGAAATTAACGACTACATTTTAACGAGATTAGCATAAAATGACATAAAATTTTAGCTAAATTTCAACGAGCTAATTTCAACACGAATTTAATGACTAACATTTATTTAAATTAACAACTAAAATTTGGCGTAAATAACAACATATTAAACGAAATTAACAACTAAAATTCTACGAAATTATTGACTATAATTATTCAAAATTAACAACTAAAATTCAACGAATTAACAACAACAATTTAACAAAATTAACAACTTCATTTTAACGACATTAACAACAAAATTTTAACAACATTTTCATAAAATGACATTAAATGTTGACTTCTTTTTACAAACGGGAAAAAAAACCGAACCTGCCATTAACAACCTAATTTGAGCAATATTAACAACTACATTTTAACGAGATTAGCATAAAATGACATAAAATTAAAACCAATCAAATTTCAACGAGATTAACAACTTAATTTCAACGAATTAAATAACTTAAGTTTAATAGAATGTTACGGTGATAGGGACTCGAATTTATTGTAAACTCCTCCTAAAATATGGCGTTATTTAAAAAGAATTTAAACACAATTAACAACTAAAATTCTACGAATTTAACAACTACAATTAAACGTAATTTGATTAGGGGATTTTTCCCCACCACGTGGACCATGCAAGCTTTGCCACGTGTCTTCCATTTGGGCCAACCAGATTCCGCCACGTGTCACCTCGCGAGAGGTCTATGGTGAACCAATTAGGCCACGACACGTGGAAGATAAAAAGCCCATAAGGAAAATGGCCTCCTACGGCCCAAATTCCTAAGCAAAGCCCAGTCAGTCCTAGGTTTACTAAAACCTAGTACTGGGCACGTTTTTAAGCACCCTATAAAAGGGAGATGTTCCCCCTCGGGAACACACAATTAATTAACATTCACATTAACTACCAATCAGAGAAAGTAAGACACCTGACACCTCGAACTGAGTAATTACATATTGCAGATACTCTCTTGGAATCCAAGAGACCCCTTTTACTTTCCGCACTTTACTCCTCAAACACGTTCCAACTTGATCGTCGGAGGTAGAACTCCCACCCACAGAAGTCTCTGTTGTTTTATAGGTACAGGCTTACAGAGGTTAGTCGTGGTGTTGTAACCAAGGGAGGGATAGAAGCCCTTGACAAACTTGGCCAGACTTTGGTTCCCTGAGCCACGGAAGAGGAAGACCATCCGGCAAGTACAACTGGATGGTACTAAGAAAACATATTCCAATGCTTTGATGTTAATCCAACAAAAGAAGAATATGCAATAAAACCTGTCAGAGTTGGCCTCAATGTCGAACTTCAATGATAGCTTTCAGAATACGTCAATGAGGTATTCTCAATCAAACCAAAAGGACCAGATAGACGGCATGTCCGCCCACTCAAGTCCTCAGCTGTTCCAGGCGGCTCCATATGCGCCTCAACAGCCATACATGCCGTTTAGACAGCCATATATGCAGCCTACCCTCTTTGGGCGTCTAAGGACTCCTTCCCAGAAGTTGTTATTACTGAGGATGACAAGGGCAAAATCAGGAGGCCGCATGATGACCTAGTTTTCATTAAATGCAAAGTGGCCAACCAAAGAGTTGGCCGGATCCTCATTGACACTAGGAGTTCGTCTGATCTCATTAGTCACAAGTGTCTGACCAAGCTCAGGTACAAGCCCAAGAGTGTGCACCAGGTCTCCCATCCCTTAGTGGGATTTGGGGGTGGTGTGGTACATCCGGTAGGTCAAATAGACTTATCCATTCGTCTGGGCGAAAAAGGGGTGAGACGCCACATTATGTCCGGTTCTTAGTTGTTGAAGAGCTGACGACCTATAACCTGATTTTGGGGCGTCCCACCCTGGATGAATCCAAGGCTGTTATCATTCATTCTCTTATGCTCCTCAAGTTTGAGAGGGATGATGGAACAGTCGGCTCCCTACGGGGAGACCTGAAGATGGCTAGGGAGTGCTACCTCTCTGATGTAAAGCCCATTGTGGCTAGGGAGTGCTACCTCTCTGATGTAAAGCCAAATGTGGTCACTGATCAGGGGTTATTCTGCTATACTGTGATGTCGTTCGGTATGAAAAATACGCCAGCTACCTTCTAGAGAATTATTAATAAAGTCTTCATTGATCAAATTGGAAGGAATGTGGAGGCGTACATTGATGATGTGATGGTTAAATCCAAACTTCAGACGGACCATCTTACAGATCTCCGAGAAACATTCGCCACACTCAAGCGGCACTAGGTCATGTTCAATCCCAAGAAGTGTGTTTTAGGTGTTAAGTCTGGAAAGTTCCTCGGATTTCTGATTGATCAAAGGGGGATAGAGGCCAATCCGGAAAAAACACAGGCGGTCATAAACATGTAGTTGCCCCGTACTATAAAGGAAGTTCAAAAATTAACAGGTTGTCTAGCGGCATTGGGGAGATTCCTCAGTCGGTCAGGCAACAAGTGCCTCTATTTCTTCCAAGCAATCAAGAAGAAGACTATGTTTAAATGGGGGACGGATGCAGAGGCGACCTTCACAAAGTTAAAGCAACACTTACACTCTTTGCCACGGCTCGTCAGCCCTTTGTGAAAGGAAGTGTTATACATGTACTTTGTCGTCTCTGATCATGCTCTCAGTGTCGTTCTCCTTGCTGAAAGACACGGCTGCCAGCTCCCCGTCTATATCATCAGCCATGTCCAGAGGAATGCTGAGTTATGGTACCCAATGGTCGAAAAATTTGGCGTGGCACTCTTCATGGCAATTAAGAAGCTGAAGCCTTACTTCTTGGCACATCCGGTCGTGGTCTACACTGGGATGATCAAGTATCTACAAATGGTCAAAGAAGGGGCTGGGACACTTGAAGAATTCTACCTAAGTCAAGTGCCTAGGTCCGAGAATAACCAGGCAGATGCCCTCTCCAAATTGGCATCATCCGCCCCTTGTGACACACCATGGTCTGGGAAGTGATGGAAAAAAGAAGCATTGAGGATGAGCCTATTGGAATCCTTGATCGAAACTCAACCTGGATACTTAACAGACGACACCGTGCCGGATACTTACCCAGAGATGGTCATAATAAAAAAGTGTGCATCCAACTTTGAAATTCATAGAGGGGAACTTTTCAAGAAAGGCTATCTTGAACCTCTTTTGAAGTGTGTTATCCCAAAAAAGGTCCAAGAGTTCCTCGAAGATTTGCATTCAGGGTTCTGTGCCTCCCACATAGGCGGCATGACCCTAGCAAAGAGAGTCAGGCGGCAAGGCTACTTCTGGCCTACCCTAGAAGCAGACGCCATGGAGATGGTGAAAAAATATGACAAGTGTCAATGG